CCCCCCCCCCCCTGACTCATGCTACCTCCCTGGCCAGGTCTGGGTGAGGCCCAACTATGAGGATCAACTCAGTCCATTCCTTTTAGAAAGACCCTGGGAAAATGGTTCCACCCCCCAGAAACCAGCCCTGCACCTGCTCCACTGGGCAATGGACGCTGACACCACTCTGTGCTGGGCCCCTGGCTCCGTGCAGCCTGAAGGTTGCGCCTACAGGTGCGAGACCTCTGCACTGGCCGCATGCCCAGGTGCTGCTTTCCAGAAGGTCCGAGAACAGAGCTACCCTCCTACCCTGGGCAGGGCTGGAGAGGCCCTGCCCCTCACAGGCCTCTGCAGAAAGCACCTAGCGGGGCAGACTCCGTGAGTGCCCCGAGTCCGGACGCAACTCACCCAGAGAACCTGGGCCGCAAGGGGACCCAGAGCCGGAAGAGCTGAGAAGTAAGGTGAACTACCACCTACTCCGGACTCCTCTCTCAGGCCTACCAAGGTGACCAGCCACGGCTTTCACACCTCCAGTGACACGCTGCCCCTACCAGCATCCAGTGCACCCACGGGGCGCTCAAGCTCCCCTGTGCCCAGGCAGAGCCCTACCTCCCCGAGGTCCTGGCACAGCCCGTGGGCCTGCTCCCACCCCGAGTGCACAAGGAGCACCCCCAGCCCTTCTCAGCGGAAACCCTGGCAGCGCTCGGCCGCAGCTCTAATGGCGCTGGTCCCCAGCTACCCACACCCGCAGCTGCCGACTGCGCCAGGACCGACCCCGGCTCGGCACGCGCCAGCCAGCCAGGGCCCCAGGTCTTTGGTGGCGGCACACAAGCCCAATCTCGGGCTCGGACAGCCATCCCACACTGACACCACGCACAGCCAGAGCTTGTGACAGGACCGCTTCAGCCGCATAAAGCCTCCAGTGACTTCGTCTCCCCTCTGAACCATCCAGCGACTCCTCTGCCCTCAGACCTCACACAGGCACCCACAGGTCACAGCACAGCTTTCCGGGGGAGCCGTCCACCGCACACAAGGCGGGGCTTAGAATTCTCTCCCCGAGCCGCATACGACAATGACCGACACCGCCTGTCTGCTGGGCTACGACATACAACGCTGTTAGTCATTAAATAAACCTGTATCATTCATCAGTGCCATTGTTACAAACAAGGTATCTCTTCTTACAGAATATCTACACGCAGATTTGCAATCTGCCCATTTCTAAAGCCTTCTAAAGGTTAGAGTCGCCATGATTCCACACAATGGTCCTCAGAGGCTTCAAAGTGCCACATGTGGTTTCTCCAGAAGCAGCATCTCCTGGAGGGCTCTGCAAGGGCAGCCGGCGGCCCGCCCCGCCCCACCCCTGTGGACACAGCCGAGCCGCACAGCCCAGGCGTGAGTGAGCCCTGCCCACAACCGCAGCCTTGGGGATGGTGACCCGGCTCATGTCACCTCCCGGCACCCCAGCAGGCCGGCGGAGGCCCTCTGACCTCACCGCTATCCCCGTCCTCGGGTTCTAGGAGCAATGACCAAGACGTTCGGTCCCCAACGGTGAAGACCAATCAACCAAACGCCGCATGTTTTGTCCTCTGGACACCAAGCAACGGAGACTGTGGAACCACCCGGAGGACGACCGAGTCTCCCCGGCCCAGGGCGCGTGAGGACTGGGAGGCATCGCCGCGGGGCCTCCCTTCTGTCGGAACTGGCAGTGAATGCTGTTGGAGCGGTCCTTGGTCCGAGTGTAGGCGTCAGTCTACTGGCTACTTCTTCGGTGTGCGCCTCCCAAGATCAATCCCCGTCAGGAAGCTCCTCAAAGAGAAGCGCGAGACCCGGTGGCGCAGTGCCGGGCACGGTCGGTATCAGGACAGGGGCAGCGCTGCGGAAGGTGCCTCTTTAGATGGTGAGCAAACGCAGCACTGAGACAACACAGCCGATCCGTGAGGCCAGGGGACCCTCGTGCAGCGAGGGCAATTAACGGAGGACACCGCCACCACAAGAAGACAACGCCCCAGTGGCAAGGAAGGGCCGGTGTAGACGGGTGCCACAGGCCACCCCGGGGGCAGGGAAAACAACCCGGCACGTCCATGAACTGCGTTCCAGAGCTCTACTTTTCCACCAAACTCTCCTTGCCTTTAGGCATTAGGAGGCCTGAATCAAACAATTGAATGGAGAAGTACAAACATCAACGGAAGTACAGTTCTGGCAAGTGCTAGCGGTCCTCCCTGCCGGAGCTAGCTATCCGCAGGCCTCCAACCTCAGCCCGTCCTTGCACACGCGGCACGGCCCATTTCGTTAATATGCGACTGTGAGAATCCAAAACAGAGATACCGAGGAAGAGCGAAATTAGGTTTTGTATGAACTTTTCAGCCGACAATGACCCAAGGACTGTCCAGTGCCCCCAGCACCCGAGATGGAGTTACAAGCCGTGGGAACAAGGCCGTTTCTGCTTTACCAACAGCCAAATGGGACTTGGTCAGAGGACAGGGGGTGGTTGGTTCACAGGGGCAGGACCGGGTGTCCGCTTTCACCAGTCACCTTCCTCTTCGCGCAGTCGACCGCTGCATCTGAGCTCTACTCGTAGAGCAGAAACTTTTTTACGGGGTCCGGCAGAGGCAGCGAGGGAATCAGATGGAGTCGGTATTTGCCAAGAGCTCTTCTCACAGCCACCCGGCACAGGTTCAGCAAGGTCCTGGGGACACCTGGAACGCCATGGAAGAGAGGGACAGAGAGGGAGGGAGGTTAATTCCTCTCCTAAGCCTGAAGACGGAAGGCTGGCTGCGACTGACAGAACGCACTGATGCTCACTGCCAACTGCCCAGCTTCACAGGGGACAGGGAAGTCCCTGGCGAGGAAGGTCTTGTCACCTGCTCCTCCCCCGCCTGCCCAAGGGGTGAGAGCTTCGTTCCCCGGGGCACCTGCTCACCGTGACGGCCCCTCCTTGACCGTGTTTCGTTTCCTAGAGAGAAACAAGGGCCGACTACAGAAGGCCCCGCCAGGTGTCAGCAACTGACCTACACGCGCGCAGTCAGCCTCCGCTCTCAGTCAAGTCCAGAAACTCCAAGGGGGGCCAGGACAGACAGGCCAAGCAGTATGTGAGGCGTGCGGGCCCACAATGTTGCTCTGGGACAGGAGAGCCCAGCCACGGCTCTGCCCCGTGGAGCAGGCAGGACGCAGGAGGCTCCACTCCCCCGGGGTGGCTCCCGCTGACCACCGACCAACTCTTCCGGGGAAGCCCCGGCAGGAGCGGGTTCTAATGACAGCCTTCGGAAACCCCAACCACAAAAACACAACAAACTAAAGTTCTATGAGAGGTAAGGGTGGGGGCAAAGGTATTCAACCCAGATGCCCTCGAGACCCAGGCGAGAATGAGGCCGGGTGCGGGCAGGTCGCAGAGGGCATGCAGCAGCCTGCAGAGGCGCACAGGGTCAATTTCTGAGTCCCAGAGACAGACTCTGGCAACAAGACCAAGCCCCGGATCAACTGCAAACAGCCCATCGATTTGTTAATTCGTTAGCAAAACCGTTCTTCCGAAATAAGCGCACGATGGGCTTTATCCTAACAAAAATCAGAGGTACCACACAATAAAAACAACATATTTGTGTGGGACCGAAGAAGGGGGTGAGGACCCCTGAAGGGGGCAGGGCCGGCAGTCTGGTGTCAGGCCAACATTTAAAAACCGTGTGTCAGAGAGAGAACTGGGGGGCCACAGAGCAGAGCAAAGGGGTAAAGAGCACATAATTTCAGGCACTCTGAGAACACGCACTTCCACGGATGTCTTTGTATCGACTCCTGGTGTCTAGGAATTTGAAAAGAAAAGACCCATCTGGAAGTACTCTCGAAAATTCCTAGCCGCAACTGAAGATTCTGACTAAGTGCTCAGTTGGAGGCTTTTTTCATCCCTGCCACTTGACTCCTTCAACTGACCCAAACAGCCTGCGAGTCAGAACGGAAGTCAGGCCACTTACTTCTGGCCTCTTTAAAGACCTGCAGTGCCTCGGGGTCTACCTTCCTTCTGCCTCTCGACTCTGGGCCCAAGGAGTCCCACGTCACCAGGCTCAGGTTGGCTCCAAACTCCACGAGCAGGCTCACGAAGGCGGCCTCGCAGCCGTGGCGCAGGACGGCATCCATGACGCAGCCGGGGGAGCCCCTGTAGAAGCCCTGCGTGTTGACGGGGCCATTGCAGTTGAAGTCGGGGTTCGCCCCCGCCTGGAGAAGCAGCTTGAAGCACTGGAGGTTGTGGTAGGCTGCGCTGATGTACAAGGGGCAGACCACCAGGGAGGTGAGGCGCCGCGAGAAAGGGGGCCGGATGTCAGGAGTCAGGTGGTGGTTGACATCAACGTCAGCCCCGTACCTGCAGGGGAGGCACAGGGACAGTCAGACCCAAGTCAGCAGCTTCCCACGGCACCCTCGGGAGACAGCCTGACCTCCGTGAGCACCGGGGGGCCGCACAGGAGACTCCACAGATCACAAGGGTCTCGTGACTTCCAGCAAAGGTAAGACAGCGGTTAACAACTTGGAATCCACTCATGCAAGAAATTTACAAGGGAACTCTCTAAACCCTCTGAAGAGCCAACAATCCCACAGCTATTTCAGCTACTTCAAAGCAAAGGAAAAAAAAGGAAAAACTCCAAAGTCATCTGATGAAATTGGCCAAACAATCCCAAAACCCGACAAAGGCCCCACCACAAAGACAAACTACCAACCGATTTCAATCGTGAATATCAATTTAACAACCTTCAATAAAATGTTAGCAAAGAGAATCCAAAAGTATATTAAAAAAGCAACGTACCATGACCTCATGAGGATTATTCCAAGAATGCAAGGGCAGTTCCAGTATTAGAAATTCCATTAACACAGTCCATCATATTCACAGAACTAAGGGGGAAACCACGATTATCTCTACAGGTGGGAAAAAAAACTTGAAGGCATGTGACAAAACTCAACACTAATGCAGGTTCGTAAATACTCAATAAAGTAAGAAGTGGTGGACATTTCCTTCTCCAGACAAGACCCAGATGTCGGAGTCTCACCTAATGGGGGGCAAACAGGGGCGGCTCTCCTCCCGGACCCACTCTCCTGCCTACCATCAGTCAGGCATTTCAAACAAAAGTGTTAGCGCAACCAGACAAGAGAAAGCAATCAGCCACTTAAGATGAGAAAGAAAAGGAAAAACCTTCCCTATCTTCAGAAGGTATGATTATGTCTGGAAAGTCCTGAATAATTAATAAAAATACAATAAGCAATGAGAGAATTTATTAAGTACGTTAATAAAGCTATAAAACCAACAGCCTTCATATATACAAACAAAAACAAGTTCAAAAACAAAACGGAAAAGACCTCGTTTATGACAGCAAAATTAAAGTGAGATATCTAAGCATAAACCTAACGGTACGTGTCTAAAATGTGCATGAAGGAAGTTATAAAATCCTGCTGAAGGCATCACACATGTAGCTCTCAGAAATGAAAAGACCCACCACCGTTGCCTTGGCGAGGAAGGGTCTACATTAAGAGGTCAATTTTCCCTAAGTTTATTACATAAATGAAAATCCCATTCGAGAACTAAATAAGTTCATTATAAATATAAACAAATAATAGTAACATCCCTGGAGTTATAGAAGTTGATTATAAAGGTCATTTGGAAGATCAAATAAGGAAAGATGTAAAAGCAAAGCTTTTTAACATGAAAATTAAAGAAAAACTTTTACGTAGCAAAAAAAAACCCAGCATAAGCAAAGTAAAGCCGTATGTACAAAATTAGGGGAATGTTGCAAAGGATTAATATCCTTAATATATAAAGAGCTAATAAACGGAAAAGATCAACTGCTCTATTGGAAATGAGCTAGAGAGGCTTAGCCATATAAAAGGATGCTCAGCCTCGCTCATAACACAAATGCAAATTAAAACTACCTTTACACCTGAAATTAATACAACATTATGTCATCTATAGTTTAAAAAAAGAAAAACTAGGGATGCCCGGGTGGCACAGTCAGTTAAGTATCCGACTCCTGATCTTGGCTCAGGTCATGATCTCACAGTTTGTGAGTTCAAGCCCCACGTCGGACTCTGTGCTGATGGTGTGGAACCTGCTTGAGATTCTGTCTCTCCTTCTCTCTGCCCCTCCCCAGCTTGTGCCCACTCTCTCTCAAAGTAAATAAAAGAAACTTTAAAAATTTTTTAAAAAAAGAAAACAAGAGAAACTACCCTGAGATACCACTTCTCACCTATCAGACGGGGATAAACCCAAAATTTTATTGACCAGGCTCTAAAGAAACAAGAAGTCTCGTTCAGTTCTGGCAGCAATACAAAATGGAACCGTCCCTACAGCAGGAAATTTGGCAACAGCTGGCAAAGTTACATATGCATTTACCCTCTGACCCATCCATCACACTCTTGGGAGTCTATTCCCAAGATACATCTGCACAATTCTGAAAAGAGGCATGCACGCAATTCACTGAAACATCATCCATAACGGCTGAAGGCAGGAAACAACCCACAGGTCCCTCAACAGAAGACCGGCTGAACACACTGTGCTCCACCCGCATAAAGTCGCGCTGTACCACAATGAAAAGGCGTGAGGAGTGTCGCTAAAGACTGCTCTGGAATGACCTCCAGAATACGTTTCACAAGTGAGAAAGGCAGGACAGTCAAAGTGTGTAGTATGCTACTGTTTATCTGGGGGAAAGCGGTTGCAACATGTACGTGTATGACACTCCTAGACATATCCACACTAGGCTTACAACTTAACAAGGGGGAATAAACCATAAAAGTTTTTAAATGGTCATCTACAGGGGAGTCGAAGGAGACCAGCATAGAAGTTGCTAGACTTTTTAAATATACTTTGTTTTATAGATTTGACTTTGGAACCAGCTAAATCTATGTCGTGAAACAAATTAAATAGAGAGCAATCCCCAAAAATTAAAAGCAAAAGAAACCACTTTAACCCAACTGTGTAGCCACCTGGTGCCATCACATCCTGCCTGCAGGGTGGCTCCTCTTTGCAAAACAACCAGACGATCCAGACCACTCCCAGCATCAGATTCACCTAGAAGAACCCAAGACAGGAAGCACAGCTTGCCAGTAGGACAGCTTCATGCAACACCCCCCGCTCCCAGATGGGCATGCTCACGGCAGTCCCTGAGCTAACCCTATGGCTGTCCGCGAGCTCTTCTCTTCTGAGGCCCGGTGACAGCCCCGACGTGAGGAAATGCATCTCTCACGGGACGGGTGCGTGGGCGGCCAGACCTAGAAGCCTCAATCTTCAGCAGGGCCCATCTCTAAACCATTCTACAAAGGCAGTCTTCAGGGTCCCCACAAGGGACCTGCCCTGGTCACTGCGCTCAGGGAAGTCCAAATACACAACTTACTGTCAGGATTTGGAGTTCCCCCAGCCCAAGTGCAAACTACCAACCCAGGTCACTTTAAGCAGAGGCCACTGATTAAAGCACAAAGGGTGGCCTGGCTCAGGTTATCAGTGTCCTGGCAAAGTTTAGAGGACGTCTGCTAAAAAACACTGCCTGGCACAGGGTGTTAGAGCCCACGTGGGGTGAGGAGGCATGTGTGGGAGGGGGCAGCAACATTAAGACATCGGTTATAGATGGAGGGACTGGCAAAATAAATAAATATGTTAAGGATAAGTGGAACCAGGCCTCTGTCAGAAAAGCCAATAATAAATCTGGAAAGGGAGAAAAGTAAGATGACCCCTGTGGTACCAGATTGGATTAGAAGTATTGGGGTAAACTCAACTGTCACTGTATTTAGAGACAGAAATACAGACAGAAATGTGTATATGTATGGGGCACCTGGGTGGCTCAGTTGGTTAAGCTTCCGACTTCAGC